GTGAAGTTTTAAATGCCTAAGTCTTTTGCACAGTGTCTGAAACGCGTGACGACGTAGAGCAGTCTCCCTTGTCTTCCAACGATGCGGCGTGGCGCGGCTGTGGCGGGCGACCACCATGCAGGCCCCGATGTAGGTTGATGGCGAGGTCCCGCCCAATTATAATCACAATTACACCAATAATGTTTCTTTTTTGTCTGGTTTCTTCCCTAATGCATCACTATGCCCCTTCGGCTCCATATAATGCCTTGGTCACACTACATGACTTTCAAAGTCATCAGATACTGTTCACACGATACAATTTTGCATCTTGTAACAAGATTCTTGACGTTGTTGTGGTCAGCACCAGGGGGCCACACAAGGAGTAATCCCAGAGTCTGTCTGGTCTCCAAACTATGTTTCATTCTGAGTCATTAATAACACCATTAATAACACACATCATGATTAATCATCAATATAATCCATAAAGATGAACTCAGCGTGTTCAGCCTCCATTGTAGCTGCGCTCTTTTAGTGGGAGAAGATCGTGGGAATGAGAGGCAGAACGTTTAAAAAATTAAGATTCCTCACTAAAATAAATGCAGGTTAGTCGCTGAACTGAACACTGACTCATAACACTGTTAATTCACCATTTACTATGTGTGTGCAATGGCATTTGATAATATTTTTTGCCCGTTACCAAAGTAACTACCCAGTTGTTGCCTCCTGTCTTGTGCTGGATAGCTCTTTCCCCCCAAAGTTAGAGTCCTGGTCGGAGCCAGCAAATTCGGCCCGGTTGGTCCACCCAGCTCCGGTTCGGACTCATGTTTCATCCCTGCTCCTTAGCACTATTCCCGGTCCTTTGAGTACCCAGTCTGGGGCAAGTCAGCTAACAGGACTGATAGCTAACTAGCTAGTGGCAGCAGCTAGTACAGTTAGCATATGTAGCAGTACACCAGGAAGTGACTCCCTGTTTTATGAGATGTGTGTTATGTTGCAACAATCCTCCGATACTTTGGTCCTGGTGACAAGGTGCAGCTCCCGAAGGGAGTTTAACTTTGTTTTTGTTTTTCTGCGACTATCCGACTAATGAAGAGTGCGTTGACTATTCTCAGTGACTAACGGTGAGGTGACTATTAGGGGGGAGAATATGGACAAGCCACTTGTGGAAATGTCAAATGAACCAGTTTGTTTTAACCATTATTATTATGATCTCAGGCACTTTTACCACATTTGCTCATAATTGTGTGACAACAAACTAAGTATGGACCATACTTGGCATTGTGCACAAGCAGATGGAAGGACAGGTGAGATTTATCATTGTACATTGCATGTATCATGCAAGTTGGGCAGGTGTATGTTTGATATATCAATTTTCTTCCTACACACACATTTAGAACTTATTCAACGTATGCATTGATAAAATAGGCCCCTGGGTCCTTTGACTTTCATCTTTAAAGTCCAGGATGACTAAGCCTTCAAGAAAACATGTCCACGTACACACACAAAAGCAAACCTAACCCTTTTCCAAACAGGTTTTTTCCAAGCTTCTTAAGATGTGTCATCTCAACTTCACACAGAGGCTTTTACCTGCCAAAGTTGAAAGCACTGGCAGGTAGAAACAATCTAAACTAGAAGGAAGAAAGCCGAAGACATGAACACTGCTACTCATAAATACATAATGCTACAGTATGTGATTGTACAACACGCTAGTCTCTGTGGACACATCCCTGTGACTGATGGAAGGATTAATTGTCAAAGATGATGAGGATTGAAATTGACAGCATTAAAGAGACCTCAGCACTCACAGTGCAAACACACTGGGAGCACACGCACACACACACACACACACACACACACACCCTGAGCCAGTATCGTAAACTGTGAAAACAACAAGAGCAACAGCGTAGACGTGATTAAACCATCCGTTTATCAATTTGTCATGGCACAATACACACGCATGCACTTCCATCCACAAACAGTCAATTACACACATATATATATATACCCACACACACACACACACACACACACACACACACACACACACACACACACACACACACACACACACACACACACACACACACACACACACACACACACACACACACACACACACACACACAAACATGCACCAAAGCTGGAGCTGGTTTGTTATGATGTCCATTAGCATGAGTGACAGGAAGGTTAAGAGAGGTGAGCAGTTACACTAGTCTCCTGAAGTGTGACAAAATGCTTCTGAGGTTTACGGGCATCATACTTTAGGGCCTTCATCAACAAAAGGCCAGATTCAGAGAAGAAGGGCTGACCTTTCGCACTGTTGCATCTTCACTAGTGATGCAGTAATGATGGATTACAAAGCCACTTAGGCAGACAGGATGGGAGCAGAACCTTTCAAAGACAATAATGTTTGTGGCATATTTTTCGTCCTCCTGCCGTACCTCTTTCCCAAGGGCTTAAGCAGATTCAGCTCCTGCTTTTTCAGCCTGCTGCCCTCTAATATGGCCCTGTGATGGCTGGGTAAAGCCTGCCAGAGGCTAGGGGGAATGTATGTACCAGTATGAGTGTGGGTTTGTCAGTCAAGTTGTCAGTCAGACTGACGGGTCATTGTGTCGGCTGACAGCCGGCTGAGAGCTACAGCACTTCCATTAGGAAGGAACATCACTCACTGGCCATTACAGCCACAGTCCTCTCCTGTTCACTGAGATGGAGGATAACAGGAAGCATATATACACCCAGGGCATCGGCAAACTCTCCTGGCAGCTGAACATGCAGGCAAGTCCTAGTGTCCATACAGACGTACTTCAAAATGCTCCCTGGTATGCCCATCTGAGAAAATAATCCACTGCTAGGTAAGAGTCCCATTTTATTCAACCTAAAGCCTACCTGAAATCCACTTACTGAAACTATTATTATTATTACTAATAATTGTATTGCTATTATTATTATTATTATTATTATTATTATTATTATTATAGTTGTTATTGTTACTACTATTGCTGCGGTACATCTCCCACGCCCACCCCTCTCTACACCCTCTCTCTCTCTAACCCCAACCAGTCGAGGCAGGCGGCCACCCACCTAGAGCCGGGGTCTGTCCGAGGTTTCTGCCTCTTAAAAACAAGTTTTTCCTTGCCGCTGTCCCCAAGTTCTTGCTCTTGGTGGGAACTGTTGGGTGTCTGTAAATAATTTCATTATTCATAATTTCATTTTAGATAAGGCGTACAGTCTATACCTGCTCTATATAAAAAGTGTCCTGAGATACTTTAACTTCTGTTGTGATTTGGTGCTTTATAAATAAAACTGAACTGAACTTACATTTGGGTTTAGCTTTCAACATTTGTAAGAAATAAAAGTTTCAAATAAATTAAAAACTAAGTATCAGTTGAAATTTGTTGTTTGAGAGACCTATCTTCTCATCTTTTTCATCTTAGTTCTGTTAGTAAGTTAGTAAATTAAAATCACCTTAATATCAGTGTAGGAAAACCAATCATCGATCATTCCTCCTATCGTCGACATAAAATAAGATCACCAATCAACACCAGTCTAATATGTACTGTACAGTTCTCAGTGCTGGTGGGAAACCAAAGTTGATGTTTAAGGGGCTGAGAGATTCACCAATGGATGCTTAATAATATCACAGCGTGGAACTGTACAGAAAAACTAAAAGCAATCATCATCATCATCATCATCATCACTGACACGAGGCAGTGGCAACTCCCAGCCAAAGTTTGGTAGGGCCCATGTTGGTACTAGGTGAGCAGAAAATGGGCGCTATATGGGATTGTCTATGGGTTCCATAATGGCCCCATTTCAATTGCCCATATAGGCTTTATGCAGGATTACTCTGGGTGTTAGGTGGGTCCCAATTGAGCATTTACCAACCCAAATGGGCCCCACTTATATTGCACACTCTAACCCCTTGCTCTCATTTTCTAACTAAGACCCACATAGGTTCACCGATATGGGACTACTTAGATGACAAAAGTGGCCCTCACATAAGTTGCCCATTGTGGCCATACTTGGTATCCAAGTATACATTTACATAACATATACATGTTGGCTGGACTGCCATGGCTGGGCTGTGTGATTTGAATGGAGGCACATCATTTTCCAAAGGCTGTGCTGAGACCTTCCAGACAAAAGAAAACCTGAAAGACCAAAAATGACCTGAAACTTAACTGTGATGAAAGAGCTATCAGAGATGTAGCTATCTTGGAGTTAGGCTCAACATTGCGACAGGGAACGATGGAAACATCATTGTAGTACAGACAATTCAGTAAGGTTCTATTAATTAATAAATTATCTTTGATGAAATACTGATTTGCAGAAAGTATATGAACAAAATATTTGTCAAAGTTTAATTTTGGCCTTTGTGAAATTTAATTCCATTTCTTGCCAAGAGTGAGATGATAAGATCGATGCCACTCTCATATCTGTACACTTGGCTCAGCATAAAGACACGGCTAGCCTGGCTCTGTCCAAATATTAAAAATGATCCTACCAACACCTCTAAATTTGACTAATTAACATGTTTTGGTCGTTTGTTTAATCCAAACACAGACATGTACATAAAAACAACTTGTGTTTTTATAGCCAGTTAGCTGCTCAAGTATTTCTTGGCTGGGAACTATTCCTTGACTTCCTGGAGTCACCAGTGGTTGCTTGGCAACTTCACGGTGACTCAAGATTCCAACAGGTTTCTTTTTCTTTTGGCACTTCTTCTTTTCTCTTTCCTCTACCTTCAGATTGAGCGGGCACTTCTTGATGCTACAGAAATTATTGTTCATGAACATGCACTGTATGAGCGTTTCACATAAGCTCAAACTATGTTTGTATATGGTCACAGCTGTAATAATACACATTTTCTAAACACAGTTTGTCAGCAGAGTCAATACAAACATATTCATTGATTTGACCAACCCGTCCTGACTTCAGAAATGTCTGACTGTCAGTCTTCAAAACAACACCGTAATCCAATCCTAGCGTACAAACACACACAAGTACACAGTGGCTCCTACCTCATCTAGTTCAGAGATGTAGACGGGCTTCTCTTCAAAGCCGAGAGCCATGGGTTCGTTGGGTGGGATCTCCACCTCTTCGTACATCTTATTGTTCTCTCTGCGGATTCCCTCGGGTAGCAGCATCTGAATGTCACACACACAAAAATGAAGAAAACCCAGACCTCACAAATGACCTCAAAGACACGCCTAGATTTTAAAACATACTCTGAAACTTGGAAGGATATTCAAGGTCACAAAATAGACTATTACACTATAACAACTGAGCTATATTTCAATTCCCATGTTCTTTAGGCACCCTTGAAAACACAGAGTAGATCAAACACACTTTGTAGATCTAATCAGTGTTGGTTTTTAACATGTACATTTGTAGTCCTGCATGTAAAGGCCTATTGAATAGGACATAAGTGGACATACGGTGTTAAAATCTGTATAAATAATAAATGACGTTATCAAAATCCAATTTTTTTGGACAAACCTTTGGTGTATTGTATTCTGCATGTAGTGAGAGTTTAATGTGATTTACAGCATGGTTAGGTGTGCTTCTGTAGTACATTTTGTCATACTGTAGTTGGTGGTACTCTGGTTTGTGATATCAATTGTTTTGTGAACGTAGTATGTTTCGTAGTACTTTGGAAGAATTACTTTAGAGAATTTAAAGATCTCCTACAGACATGTATAAAGACATATATACAATAGTCTGCTTGGAACAATAATTTGTATATTTTCCACATTAAAATCCTTAAAATCCTTCTACCTCATTATCAATTCCAGAATCTCCGAATATGTAAAAGTTGTTCATTTCTAAAGTTTTCCTGCTGGACACAAGATGTTTCCTACTTCACTATAAAGTCCATTCTTAGTGGATGTGCACTGGTGGCTTCACACTGTATAAGTTGCATAATGGACCAGGACTGAATTCGATTCGAATTGCACTGTGATTAGTTTTAACCCTAACCCTAATAAGTACAGTAGTAAAAAATATCAGAAAGAAGGAGAATCCTACATTGGTGCTGAAGTGGTAAATAAGTCAGGGATCAGGCACATTACACAATGCAAGCAGAATGAAAAAGGGGACTCTTCACTCAGAACTCACCCTGGCTCCTCCAACAAATGCAGGTGACTTTGTGGCCTCTTCGTAGCTGTCGTAGACATTGGGATATCGAATGCGTTCGTACACTCTCTCTCTGCTGAGTACAGGCTCCCGTCGTGCAGTCAGCAGGGCCTGCTCCCTGTACGAGAAAACACAAGACATATGGAACGCGAAAAATCCAGAAAAGGAAGCGACTGTAAATAAAAGGTGCCTAATAGTACGTCAAGATGAGAAGAAAGAAGTCAAAGTCAAGGAAGAAAGGAATAAAGAGCAATGTCATCTCAACAAAAACATTACACACACAATGTCACATCTGCAGCCACTTGGTTCCATACATGAACCCTCACATCCATCCATATTTTTGCTTTAGAATGAAAAGTGCAGTTGATGATTCAAATGAAGAGGCACAGATGTGAGGCATTATGTTCCTTCCTAAAGTGGCTTACCTCTCTGCTAATCTTTTCCTTCACACTGGGCTGGATTTGGCCATGCTAAGTTTTTAATTAAACAGATCACTGCTCTTTTTTTTCATCCTCTGAAATTAAACTTTCAGAAAAATCCTCTACCAAAAAAAAGATGTGACAAGCTGTAGCGTCCCTGTGCCATTTTTTTCTATTTTGTAAAGCTCCAGCCAAGTTGTCATGAAAAATTCAAAAACTTGTCGGTTTTTGGTGCTGAAGGTGCGCAGAAGGTGACGGACAGACAAAGACAAATGAGGGGAAAGGGAAAAAGAGAAAGTTTGGGAGAAAGTTTCGGGAGATATGATGTACCGCTGGGCTCTCATCTCTTTGGGGTCGAAGGGCATGACAGCGTCTGAAGAGTCGCTGTCATCTGTTCCTTTGCCTCTCTTCCTCTCTCTCTTCTCCCCCCTGCGGTACATCTTCATCATTTGCTTCTCCTGCTCTGAATGGATGGTCACCTGGCAACCATAGGTGGGCTTGCTCACTTCGCCACCAACTTTTCGGCTCACATCTGGAGGAAATACAAACAAAAAGATATAGTAAATAAAAGCCAACATGCTAGGACGTCAAAGGTTTGCCTGAACTGGATTAAATGACAGCATAATAGTATAATGCAAAAAGATGACATATTTACGGAGCCCCTAAAGGGACATGAGGGAGAAAAAAAAAAAAGAAATTTCTAGTGCACACTGATCCCTATCTTGTGCACACTAGATCCCTATCTTGTGCGCACTAGATCCCTATCTAGTGAGCACTAGATCCCTATCTAGTGAGCACTAGATCCCTATCTTGTGAGCACTAGATCCCTATCTTGTGCGCACTAGATCCCTATCTAGTGAGCACTAGATCCCTATCTAGTGAGCACTAAATCCCTATCTTGTGCGCACTAAATACTATCTTGTGCGCACTAGATCCCTATCTAGTGAGCACTAGATCCCTATCTAGTGAGCACTAAATACCTATCTTGTGCGCACTAAATAATGTGCGCACTAGATCCCTATCTAGTGAGCACTAAATCCCTATCTTGTGCGCACTAAATACTATCTTGTGCGCACTAGATCCCTATCTAGTTCATCAAAAAATTTAACCAATGAAATTACTTATTTTGACACACATTTTAAGCCAATAAGTATATAAATAAATGTAAATTAATCTGTAACCTCTTTTGTTACAGTCCGCATTTAAATGCCCTGTCCTGCAGCCGGACACTCATTTGTCCTCCTTTTGAGAAAATAACAAAAATAGTCCGCCTTTTGACACATTACCTTGTTAGTTTAATACTTATTGGCTTAAAATGTGTGTCAAAATAAGTAATTTCATTGGTTACATTTTCGTGTTGTGACCTATCAACACATGGCTAATTTTAATATTCAAATGAGCCACACTCCATCCATATCTAGTGTGCACTAGATCCTATCTAGTGCCACTAGAAGCGTTTCATTTTTTTTTTTTTTTTCCATGTCCCTTTAGGGACTCCGTACATATTACTGCCTTTGAGAGACAAAATCCAAAACACAGATGAGCGTACATTAGAAACAGCAGTAGAAACATCATGCTAATCAATGCAAATCTTTATGAAGTAACAACCACTGAGAAAAGATTTTGTGGGAATTAAAGACAAATGCTATATTCAACAATGATCAAGAACTAAGGGATTTAAGAGTACATTTGTCACAACATTCAGTTCAGTACAAGACTTTCTTCACTTCACTATTCCCTGTGAACAAATCAATTACTGCCAATTTAGCCTAATACCTATTGTTGTTTGTATTTTTTATTGTTTTTACTCACTTTTTATTAGTAGTATTGCTAACCTGCTTTTGTTTTATTAAGCACTTTCAGAGTATTTATCCCTGGATAAACAGTAATAAATAAACAGTTTGTTCTCATTTAGAAAACAACCTCAGGTAAGCCAGCGTCAGTAATAATGCATTCATATTTCAGCTATAATCTTGAGCCGACTGATGTAGGGTGCATGAGGCATTGCACGGGTTAATGTTCCCCACTGCAGCCTCCCTGTTTGAGGCACAACAGCTCAATAAAAGGCAGAATTGCTCTTGAAAACAGATGAGATCTGATGATTGCACCACGGCCTGGGCTGATTGACTGAATGATTTCTTCTTTATCTCGTCTAGCGGCTCTACCTGCTGCACAGACTCCCTCTCGTTCCGCCAGCCCCCCTCTTCCTGTCACTCTTACCCTCCCTCCCATTACCTCTCCAACTCCCAACCCCTTTAACTCTGTCACCCTCTATGCACCAATTCCTCTGTCTAAACCATTCCCCATCCTTTACTTTCCCTCTCTCTGGGAGCTATTGTGCCTTATTATGTGTCTCCAACAGTGATTGTCTCCAAATCTCCAGGATTCTCATTTCCACAAGCGATCATGGTGCCATAATCACTGTGAAAGGCATCGCCAAGATAGATTTTGTTTGTTTACAAGACGGTTTTGAGGTGTCTTCACACATTTGAAACTGTAGTCTTTAAAATCAATAAGATTTTCCCCCAAAAATTTTTTTAGACTTTTTATAACCTAGCAGTGACGTAGAAGTCTTAACCTCAATGACTAAAAGATCCTTAATTCTATAATTTATCATGAATCAATGAATGAAAATGCAAAGGTTATTTGTGCTCAAGAGATATAGTTTAAGGTCTCCAACTGTTTTATGCACTCTACCAAATTTATTCTTTTACATTTTAAGCAGAAAAATACGTCCGTTTATATATCCGTCTGTGATTATTCCATCTGATGGAGGATGACATATCAAGTATCATTAGTATCTGATGTCCATTTATCCAAGATAAGCTAAGCTAAGTTTTAGGGATGTGGCAGCCAGGGTTGCAACTAGTGATTATTTCCAGTATCAATTAATCTGTCGATCATTTTCTCAGTAAAAGGATTCCTCTTTTAAACTGTTGCATTTAAATGTTTGCTCCGCTAATCCTAAATTGCAGAATTCTGTAAAACAATGACATGACGTGATCAGATCTTCACTCCACAATTCTACTAAAAGTTGATAATGAATTATATTGAATTATTATGTTCTTACAGCCCTATGTAGCTGGTTATCATTAGCCTTGTGAATTTACAGTTACTCAGTTTAAGACTGGGAAATGACAGTGAGACTAGAAAAATGCACTTAGTTGTCCGATATTGGCTGGTAATCTAATCCCTTGGTTTAACTGCAGAATAATGCACAAATGTGCCCATTTTGCCTACAATATGAACTTAATTCAGCTCCAGCTGCTCCAGTGCTAATGAAATATTTCTGCTATCACACCAAACACACTCTATAATCCTCCCTATAATTTTGTCTGCTCACAGTGTGGTTTAACAATTTCAATATATGGCTCTCACCCGCATTTGAATCCTATAATCGTCAAGAAACTCTTTAAAGAACACTGAATTCAAATCAATAACGAATTCTATAAATTAGCCAAGTACTACTGGTAGCCAAATAGATATCCTTGTTGTTAGCATGAGGATGAGGCAACAAGCTTTCACTGAGTCCTTGTTTTTTGTGTTAGTTGTCACACTTACAGCTGTGGGCTTAGTTTGTTTTTGAGCGACAGGGAAAAGCCTCTGTTCTGATCATGGCCTAAGGAAATTGTCTAAAATGCTTGTCAGAGAAACATCATCTTGTTGTTAAATTCATGACAGAACCATTTGCTAAGGTACATCAAGTCTGGGAAACTGATTTCTGTGTCTTTTTCTGCACATATTCCTCGACACCTACTGTACCACACCAGAACTGAAAAGAAATATGCTTAATGACCCAGTCAAAGGCATTTGTACACACAAACACAAGCACTCAATGGGAGGTGATTTCTATCAGGTTGGAGCTGTCAGCATCCCACCGTGTTCCACCTCTCAGTGTGTCTCCTTTGACAATGGCTCTAGAGCTGCTACAGTGCAAACAAACAGAAGTAATGCCAAAGTTAAGATACAACTACAATAAAAATATAGTTGAATGCTGAAAGGGATAGCAAAAAAGGGCCTATTTACACATCCAGGAGACATGGAGCAACCATAACACTTAATATTAAGGCTTCTGGCCACCTGATAAATGTAAGTCTAATATTTAGGGCTGCCCCCTAATACAGTGGTTGCCAACCTTTTTCCTTAAGTGAGCACTGTTCTCTCATTGAGTAAACCGACAACCCCACACTCAGTGACATATTTTATGGATATTTCATATTATATAGAAAACTGTACAATGAACCCAAACAGTCAACTCAGTAACTGCCAGGCGAGTGATTTTGATTAATTTTGAGCAGATTATTCCCTGTTTAGGAAACTTTCTCTGTCTGTATAATGTATTTTTTTAACAATCATACAGACTTAATAGGCTTCTTTTTTAACAAATTCAGTTTTCTTGTCCCTGGCACTTGGCAGTAGTATACTGTATAGTATACAGTTTGTACAATTACTTTTCTTCACAGAAGTCAACCAAATGCTGAGAAATAGGCCTGCTGCAACCCTTAGTAGGGGTCCCGACCCCCAGGTTGCCGATATTTAGAGAGCAGAGGCCGATATATAATGCAGATATAAAAGCAAAATTAAGTCGTGTAGATTTCCATTATTATATTCTCATTACAATCTAATACACTTGGTTATCTTAGCAGGACACATGTTACTGTAGATGGCATTTTTATTACATATCATTATGCTGTAGCTTTCAGAATGTAGCTGGTATTTAGGGAGAGCGGAGTACAGTATGTCATTTAACTGCATTATTCTATACATTATAACACAATATATATTCCATCATAGCCAGTAAAAGTGTTACCTTATATTTGACCTTATATGTCATTTAGGAGAAACATGTTATATTTAAAAAAGATGATGGTGACAAATGTTTCCAGTAGGATGCATGACAGTTACAGTGCAGGGCTCCAAACTAAATTTTTCACCACCTTCTCAAACTTCACAAAGGGGAGCCCTGACATCGTTCCCCAGCAGCCACACTGACAGCCTGCCTGCAGACGTGTCTGCGGACATTTTTTTTATCTATCTGCGTTGTTATCTCAAAATACCTGATATCAGATAGTCCAGGAAAAAAAAGTTCATTTATAAGTAACATTATACATCAGTTTGTTTGAAGCTGATAGCATTTAAGAGGCGGCTGATAAGATCTAGGCAGGGCCTGCTGGTATATATGGACTAACAGGGCTTTGGTTTTGTAAATAAGTTTTATTTCTGGTACATGGTGTTGCAAATTGTTGCTGATACTTTTCTATAATGTTGTTGTAGCGCAATTGGCATGTGCTGATGTGTACACAGAGAGAGAGAGAGAGAGAGAGAGAGAGAGAGAGAGAGAGAGAGAGAGAGAGAGAGAGAGAGAGAGAGAGAAAGAAAACAGATACAGAGAGATTTCTTTGGCATCAGGTCATTCTTTTGGCTTTTTTGGTCTCCCCAGTGTTGCCGTAGAGCACTTGCTATAACAAAGTATACAATGTTGTTTCTGTAACTTGATGTGATGCTGCTGTTGCTGCTGTGTGACGTATTGAT